CATCTCTTGTCGCCTCAGCTGGAGCTCTCTCTGCCTCTCAGTCGCTTTCTGCTGCAGCTGAGCTTGTGTCGTGGCCTTTATGTTCCTCACCAGAGCAGAGATACAAGATACACTGCTGATCGGTGCGGCAGAAACATCTTCATCACCTCATGCGTGACGAGAGCAGATGTTCTGCTGGAGCTTTCGGAGGGCTCACCAGCTTGTGTTTCTTTAACTGAGCTACATCATGAATGACGCTGCAGGTGATTCTCAAGTAAGAAGACCAGACAAACCAGACAGGTTTAACAGCTTTCAGTTTCCTCCAGTGCAGACATCACAGGCCACGTCTTCAGGTCCAGCATAGCATGATCAGCAGCAGCAGCTTGGAGTCCAGTCTTCTTCAGCTGCTCCACTAAAGCTGCTAACATGGTGTTTTTTCCCCAGGACAGGCCTCGGTGTGAAGGTCTGCCCTACACTGAGCAGCTGTGGATTCTCTTCTCATCCCTTCATCCCAGAAGCTTTTAATACAGTTCATGCAGTAGCTGTGTCACAGGGAACAGCCACCCGGATCCTTCAGTAGATCCAGACAGATGGAACAAGAGAAGGTCTCCCGGTCCAGCTGATCTCCTTTCTGTGCCATTTCAGCTCTCGGTGACAACGACTGTCTGAGTTTCAACTTCCTCAGAACTGAAACTAGTTTGAGCTCTGATCTAAACAACATGTGTCTCTGCAGTGAACGGGGCCTGTCAGCTCTCGCCCTTCACACATGTTGGCTCCACCCATCTTCAACCTGTAGATCTGAAGGAGGGAAACAAGGAAAACACATGAACAGAGTGGAGCTGGCTGTGTTTGAGAGCAGGAAGAAGAGGGAGGGGCATCAGGCTTTTGGATCAGTCCAGGAAGTGGGTTTGATGCTGTGTTGTCTCTGCAGAGGACTCGCCACACACAGATAACAACAGCACAAGTCCCCAGTCAGTGGTGTAGAGAACTGATCCCTCTGGTAATGAACTTGAACAGCAGCAGCACAGTATAGAAATCACAACACACCAAGTTTCTCCTGAATCTGTAATTAATAAAAAGACTTTCTATGTTGCTTTATCAAACAAACATGATAGAAATGTTTAAATGTGTCCGTCCTTCAACAGTGACAACACAGGATCTAGAGACAGATACTAGAGTTTTTGCTTTCTAATTTGTCTTATTAACTTACACAATTTAAATAACAATGAAAACACTGATTCACCAAAGTGACTGTTAGATTCATCATGAGGCAGATGGTAAATATGAAGAAACACTCAGTACAATTTAATCACAGGTTTATTTATAAAACCTTTTTAATGACGACAAATGAGTTCTGAATAAACTAATGACATGAACGTGTGTGTGTGTGTCTGTGTGTGTGTGTGTTGTGTGGTGTGTGTGTGTGTGTGGTCGTGTGTGGTGTGTGTGTGTGTGGTTGTGGTGTGTCTGTGTGTATGGTGTGGGTGTTGTGTTGGTGTGTGTGTGTGTGTGTGTGTTTGTGTGTGTGTGTGTGTGTTGTTGTGTGTGTGTTGTGTGTGTGTGGTTTGTTGTGTGTGTGTCTGTGTGTGTGTGTGTGTGTGTGTGTGTTGTGTGTGTGTGTGTTGTGTGTGTGTGTGTGTGTGTGTGTGTGTCTGTGGTGTGTGTGTGTGTGTGTGTGTGTGTGTGTGTGTCTGGTGTGTGTGTGTCTGTGTGTGTGTGTGTGTGTGTGTTGTGTGTGTGTCTGTGTGTGTGTGTGTGTGTGTGTGTGTGTGTGTGTGTGTCCGTGTGTGCTGTGTGTCTGTGTGTGTGTCTGTGTGTGTGTTGTGGTTGTTGTGTGGTGTGTGTGTGTTGTGTGGTGTGTGTGTGTGTGTTGTGTGGTGTGTGTCTGTGTTGTGTGTCTGTGTTGGTGTGTGTGTGTGTGTGTGTGTGTCTGTTGTGTGTGTCTGTGTGTGTGTGTGTGTCGTGTGTGTGTGTGTGTGTCTGTGTGTGTGTGTGTGTGTGTGTGTGTGTGTGTGTGTGTGTGTGTGGTGTGTTGTCTGTGTGTGTGTGTGTGTGTGTGTGTGTGTGTGTGTGATCATTGACCTTTGTGGTGTGTTTAGATTTGACTTATTAATACACTGTGTATTTGGGATTCTGACATTAAAGATAGTATAATGTTTGTCACGTGTTGTCAGGACTATATGGAGAATACTGTGGAAAAGCTAAGATCAACTGAAGGACTAAAAACAACAAGCAGACCACCCCCCCCTCAGCTCCACAGCCCCCCCTCTTTCAGAGGTGACATCATCACCTCCTCATTATAGGAACCTTAACAGGCAAGATAGACCAATGGAGAAATGCCAGTTTTAGTTCTTCAGATCATCCCGGGGCTCTGAAGAACTATTTGTGAATAATTGGTTGATATTGTAAATTTACATCTGAATATATTAAATAAAAGTGTTATAAAGTCAATAGTGGTGCGTATGTTATTTGTAATTAAGTTTCTAACCCCACTTTAGTTGAAAGACTACATACAGAGACTTAACAGTTTAATTTGCATTTCTTCAGTATATTATATTTCATGAGACAGAGAAGTTGAAGTTTGAGATGATTTAATCTGTTTTACACAGTATTTTTTACTTTGTCTTCCAAAACAAAAGATTTACTTTACAATATGAAGCTTGTGTTAATATTTCATTGATTGACACTTAATTTTATTATTAGGAAAAAGTTTCTCTGCAGAAACTTTAGTGGCGTCACTTTATTGAAGGTGTTTTTGTGAGAGTTTTTCTCTGTAGAAATATTAATGAAACTTTCCCTAAATCATTGTTGTTACACTTCATTTGAATTAGGATATTTTACTTTGCCAGTCATTTGACCGTTTTTTTTTAGCGTTTCTTTTTTTTTTTTTACAGTGTTGTAAAATCTAGAAATGTCTTTAGGAGCTGTTTTCTCTAAGGTTCAGACCAGGTGTAAGGCCAGTTGGTCTGAACCGGAGCATGTATACCTGGCACACTGTTTGTCCACCAGAGCACAAGCCTCAGCCTGAGGTCTCCAAGCTGCCCAGCATCACGGTTGGCTGTCTGCTCCTGTCAACCAGGGGTGGACGGAAGTCAAGTACTTTTACTTGAGTACTGTACTTCAGTACATTGTCCTTGTATCTGTTCTTTACTTGAGGTTTTTTTTTACTCTTTTGGAAACTTTCTGACTTTTCCTCCACTACACTTAATTTAATTTTGAAAATGTGATAGACCACACACTGTGTTCATCACAGGAGAAAAAACAATCACAGCCAACTCCTCCACTGTCAGCCATGTTTGAACCTGTCAGTGTCCTGACGGTGGAGACGTTAGATAAAGATGAGGCAGAAGATTCTTCACCAGAGACCAGGGTCTGATCTGAAGTCTGTGTTTGAAGGTTTAGAAGTAAAGAATATTCATGTAGTTTGAAATGTTTGTTGTGTTTTCCACGACCAGACTTCATCACTGACTAAATAAAAAGAAATACAAAAACAACAATAGATGTTCTTTTGTTGATTCAGTTGTGTTCTTACAGCCATTTCTGCAGGCTATATAGAATATCATACAAACCTTTTTATACTATAGGTTCTACAAATAACTCAGTGTATTAAGTAGGTTGTTTCACAGCCATTCAGTTCTGTAAATACATGTGGAACAATCCAACAATGTGTTGACATATAAAATGTACTTTTGAATACTTTGAATACTGAACTTTCACTTGTATTAGACATTTGACCAGGAGGATCTATACTTTGAGTCAAGTAAAGATGTTGTAATTCTTCCACCTCTTCTGTAAACTGACCTTTTCTGTTTAACCTTTTAAAATACTGCAATTTACCAGTAAAAACCTAATAGAGAAATTTAAAATTTTAATTTAAAAATTTAATTGATATGTAGTTTGTGTTTGAATTATTTTTAAAAATGTATACAGTGGCTGCTTTATTGGAATATATTTGGTCACCAGCCTTTCTAACCCCTGATTTCCACCGGCAACGTCAGCGCCGCGGAACGTCAGCGCCGCGGTCACCGCAGCCAAACGCTGCCACTCTAATCAATGTGAGTATTTCCACCAGCAGCGGCTCGCCGCGCCGCAGCGCTATCAATCCGTAGCAGTTCTATTTTTGACGCTCCCGTTGCTAAATCGCGTCAAGCTCAACAGAGTAGATTGCACCAGACAGGAAGTCAGACACAGTATCAAAGTAAAACACTTCCGCCCCCTTTCAAAATAAAACGCAACACGCACGTCATCTCACTTCACATCAACATTATGTATCAGAGCGGTTGATATTAACAGAGTGGCGACAACTTTTGATGTCGCCACTCTGTTATATCAACCGCTCTGCACTGTATCAAGAACAACGATCTCGCGTACGTTCCGTATTCTCGCGTGAATACGGCTGGCTCGCGAGGCAGCGCTGCGCTGCCGTAACGCGTCCGGTGGCGATTGACGCGGGGCAGAGGGCGGAGCAAAACTGCGACGCTGACGTTCCGCGGCGCTGACGCGCCCGGTGGAAATCCGGCGTAATACTGTCACTGGTTAGCTGCTGTAGAGTCACTGGTTAGCTGTAGGGTCACTGGTTAGCTGTAGGGTCACTGGTTAGCTGCTGTCAGGTCTGGGGGACACATGCCTGTTGTTGCAAGTGTGGGCTGTTGGTGAGAGGTTAACCAGTTTGACATTTTTCTCTCAGCCACCTGTTAGTTAACTCCACGGGCTTTTAGTTTTGCTAGTAGCTCTCAGAGAGACAAAGGCTGGAAACCTATGTTTAAATAACTTTGGACCAACAGGAACATGTTTTATATACAGCACCAGTTATGTTTTATATTTTAATATTACTTAATGAACTCAATGCACTTGTTGATAAAACTGGTGAAGAACTTTGTTACAGACAGGGACATAAAATTCAAGAGAAGATCAGTTCTAATGTTTTATACTCACATTCATATTTGTGTTCATGTCTCTTTAAGAAGACGCCTCCTGAAAGTCATGTGATTTACAGTGAAGGCAGAGGAGAGGAGGAGCAGCTCTGCTCACACCAATCATTAAATACAAGGAGGGAAAACTGAAGCTGAAGTTTTCTTTCAGATCAGACTGTTTAACAAGGTGTGGACCGTCCACCTGACTCTGCTGTCTCTGTGTGGACTTTGAAACAAAATAAGGATCTGTTGAGTCTATGAGGTGGAGTGTCGACTTGTGTACTCGGTGTACTCTGTGTTTGTTACTTCCTGTGTTTGTGAGCTCACAGTCAGTGTTACTGGTTTCCCTCTCAGACTGACTGAAGCACAGATGATGAGTGATTGTGTGGAGGAAGAGGAGGACACGGCAGAGTCTCCAGGATCCAGCTGTTTGTCTATGAAGAGTGATCCGTCCAAAGATGATCCTTCGGCTACAAGGTGAGAGACCTGCTGCAAACTTCCAGCCCTTTGTGTCTGTACTGATGGCCGACAGTCGAGAGAAGACAGGAAGTGAGAAGAGAAATGAAGAAGAACATGCATCAACTGAAAACTGGGGATGTTGCTGTTCATGATCCCAAGTCATGAACAGCAACATCCCCCCTTTGAACTATTTATCAGTTTGAGATTTCCTCTCAGGGCTTATCACAGAGTAGACAGAGGGCTTTCACCACTGGACAGAGAGCACTAATGTGTAACCACATCTGGTACCAAAGCTGAAGACAGCTTATATGTGACTGTAGGATTCAGAAACATGATCAGTGACATCCTTACAGGGTTCCCACGGGTCATTAAAAACTCTTAAAAAGTCTGAAATTAAAATAAAGGAAAATAAGATCTTGATTATCTATTTACCTTAAATTTGGTGTAGGTATTAAATTTGCAGATAGTGTGTCTAAGACCGGTAGAAAAAACAAAACCAATAATATTATTTTTGTCAATCAGTTTTGTTATGGCCTTGCAGTTTCATGCCCCTTGTTCCACACACTTGTCACTTTGTTATCAAGCACATACTTTTATTTTTAAGATGGGGTTCCTCCTCCTTCAAAATAATATCATCACACCACACTTGTATCTTTAAATACCCGAGTACCCGTAACAGCATATGGGTCTTGATGAGTAATTCTGTCAATGATCACGTCACCAGACGCATTAGACACGTGGTCTCTAACAGCGCTAATATCACCATCTGACATTCAGTCAAATCGTTTTGCTCTGTGGTCAGTTTTTAAAAGATTGTGTCTGAGTTAGTGTTTCCTCCCCTCCACGGGGTGACAGAACATTTCAATTAGAGAAACAGAAATACAGTTTGAAAACTCATTCATAACTGATCAGATAAGACCTGCAGGCAAGTGTGTGAGTTAGTTACTATGGTTACCGTGACGCTCTGTGTCTGCTGTGTCTGCCGTTCTGAAACTTTCTCATGATTCATTAACAGGTTTTTAGGTTAGTTTGCCTTTAAAGAAATCATGAATGCAATTGTACCTCAATACTGAAATATTGTGATATAACTGTATATTTTTGGTGAACATGATTCTAGAATAAATATAATTATATATGTTGAACAGTGTTTCTTTGCACGCAGGATAAAGTGTGAACATCAGAGCAGTTTGTCTGCATTACAATAGTCCTTGATCTGAGATGATGGAGGTTGAATGATACCATCAGCAGCAGCTGCTGGAGCTGTGAGAGCGGCTGCCATACACAGGTGAATTAGATGTTGTTGTGAGGTCGTGTCATTCATCCCATGTTTGTACTTTGTTAATTAATAAAAGTCACTTCCTGTCCTGATCCACCCAGTTAGTAGCTGTTCTTGATGCATTCCTGGTTTTCACAGCACCTCAGTCTAACTGCTGCTTCTTGACTGAATCCAAGAGGTGAGGTGATGAAATGCAGGAAATCAGTTTTTTTGATGATGTAGATGTTGGCGTTTGTGGCTGTTTAAGTCTGTGCATCAGTCTAGGTTTGGAAATAGGAAAGTGCAGTTTAAGACGTGGTTGGGGCCAACAGGAGACCCCCGGTCTATGTCTTTGCAGGAGAGCTCACTTCCCCAGTAACTGAAGTGAGAAGAGAAAAACTGATTGTGCATAGTGAAAAAGTCTGCACTACAAAACACTAAAAACAGATGTTTTTACCTCTGATTATCTAACAGTGAATAGGATTTAGAAAATGTTTAGCAGTGATAAGAAGTGATGAGTGGTGTGGTTCTGCTGCTGCAGGTGTTCAGATCTTTTATTGCTGGTTCTATTTTTGTCGACTATGTGCTGTTGAACTTCAATGACGAACGTGGGCAGGTTTTTCTGCTCCACTGCCTCTGCTTTCAAACAGGAGAGCAAAAACTAAAGTCTGAGTAAAAGAAATCATTTTGATTTGTTCTGTCTTCATTTTCATTCAATGAAGTCTTGAAAAGTCTTGAAAAACATTCATTTTGAATTTTCCAGTGGTGCAGGAACCCTGCTCTATCCCCACAGCTCACACTCACAGAAACCTGGTACCTTCCACTGCTAAACCTCCAGATGCAGCCGAGGCATCGTGTGTGTAAAAAAACACATTCTGACAACGTTGGTTCAGAGAATCAAAAGACCAGTTTGAAGATAACTTCAGTGCCACTTGTTCACCACTTCATAAACACAATAATAGTCTTTGTGTGTCCTCCAGTGCTGAAACAGTACAAACCACCTTTGGAGTCTGGCAGTGTGAGACTAACCACTCCTTTAAACCTCATGTTGTGCATCAGATAATAGAAACTTCATTGTGATTTAGTTGCAGTTGCAGTCAAGAAATTCTTGTCTCATCTTGTCCAAATATTTGTCTGTACAGGAAACGTAGCTACACTGAGTCCATCTATCTGAAAAGAGAAAACACCGACACTGTAGAGCTGCAGGCTGTTGAGCCTCGTGAGTGGAGAATGGAAACTGAACAATATGCAAAACGAGAATTACCGCCTCCTTCACTCAGACTGGTTTCAGGTTACATCCCTGTTTATCCAGAGTCAAAAATCATAATAATGTATGAACCATTTGTCATAATTTCTGTGTGAAGTCTTGGATAGTGTTTTGTGAGGTCATACTGACTTTGACCTTTGACCACCAAAATCTAAGTGAACGTTTGTGCCTAATTTAAAGAAATTCCCTGAAGGCGTTATGGAGATAATGTGTTCACAAGGCTAAAACTACATTATGTGAGGTCACAGTGACTTTGACCTTTGACCTCTGACCACCAAAGTGAAATCACTTCATCCTGGAGTCCAACTGCACATTTGTGCAAAAGTGCAGTGGCGATATTGTGTCCACAAGGCCAAAATCATGTTTTTGGAGGTGACCGTGACCTTTGAACTAAGATCATCTGTAGTAATCACACAGTGGGGAAATGTGCAGTGTTCAGCAGCACAGGGGATAGAACCACAGCAAGAAGAAACAGTAAAGTCTAAAATAAGTTGACTCAAGTAATTAACAAAAATAACTTTGTTCAAATAATCTGTGAAATGTTTTTATTTAAAAAGAAATGCGTTCCTGTCCACAGAGGGAGGAAGAGGAGAGGTGTCTCTGTGGACGAGCAGCTGTCCAGCTGTGCTCTGTGTCAGGACGTCCTGAAGGATCCAGTCTCTACCAGCTGTGGACACTGGTTCTGCAGACAGTGCATCACCTCATACTGGGACCAGTCTGGTTCTTCAGGAGACTCCTCCTGTCCCCAGTGTGGAAAAAGACCCAGAACAAGACCTGGACTGCAGACAGCCAGTCAGACCAGCACTGAACAAAGTGAGACTGAACATCTGTATGATGATGTCATCATTCTGAGACCAGGACCTGTTGTTTTATACAGAGTCATTTGTTACATCACACAGCATCGACCTTTAAGATGATTATAAATACCACAACATTAAAACCTTTTCTCTGTTTGTCTTTAGTTTTTCTGCAGCTGATGAAAATAATCATCAGATTCTCAGATTCTCTTTCTTCAGTCTGACGTTGTCTCTTCTCTTTCAGCAGATAGTGGTCTGCAGGAGGTTTTAGATCAACATAAGATCAGTCTGAGGAGCAGATGTGAACATGTGACTGAAGGAACTGATGGAACAGGAAGTGGAACCCTCCTCAACAGGATCTACACTGAGCTCTACATCACAGAGGGACAGAGTGAAGAGGTTAATACCCAACATGAGGTGAGGCAGCTGGAGACAACTTCCAAGATGGAGACCCTCCATGACGCTCCAATCAGGTGCCACGACATCTTTAAAGTCTTACCTGTCCAACAGAGATGTCGCATCTCTAAAGTCTTACCTGACCAGCAGAGACCCATCAG